TTAAGGGGGGTGAGGGCATGTAGGGAAGGAAGTGATCCTTCAGGTACTTCAGTTGGGAGCCAGTGTAGCTGGTAGAGGACTGGCGTTATATGAGAATAATGACCGGCCCTCGACATTATTTTGTACCAGTTGAAGTATCCGGACCATTTTCAAGAGTAGCCCCATGTCGAGCATGTTACAATAATCCAAGTGGGAAGTTACTAGGGCATGACGTATCACAGTTGCCAGGCAGTGCTTGTCCAGGTAAGGATGAGCCAATACGGCAATGGAACCAGCTGCCCAGAGAGCTGGTGGACTCTCCCACACTAGAGGCATTAAAAAAGAAACTGAATAGCCATCTGAGTGGGATGGTGTAATGTGGTGTCCTGCAACAGCAGGGGTTGGACCCAATGGGCTTCATACCCCATTCCAAATCTTCTATGATGAAAAAGTGCTGCAGATAAAGAAAGCAGTTCAATCCAGGTCAGAATCACCTGGACACCCTGCCCCCCCCCAACACACACACCCCATAAGACCCTCTGGATTGAAGCAGGTAGATTGCCCAAAGAACTCCCAAAAAGACAAGCCTCAGAGCACATCTGCTCCTCTAATTGGCCAGAATTGGAATGAGCTGACAAATGAGCATGCTCAAAAGTGGGCCTCTCCATCACATGAATCTTGGCTTGGGATTGGCCAGAATGCTGAATAGGCAGGGATTTTAAACCTATCAGAGTAAGGAAGGTGCCAACAGAGACTTTCTTTAAAAAAAACTGTGGGAAAGTCACAGAAAAGACTGAAAACACTAATTTTAGCTTTTTTTTTTTTTAACTAAACTCAACACTGGGTCCCGACTTCAGGTTTGAAGCTCCTTGTCCTCAGGTACATCACCAATGTAGAAGGTAGATCTGTGGAGCTGTTCCACCAGGACAATATGCTAGCAGAATTGCCAGATGTGACCCAGTCCTGGATGGGACTGGAGCAGCGGAAGGGAGATGTGCACTTAACACAATATGCTGTACACGTGGAAGGCCGTGACCACTCCTCAGTGACACAGCAGTCATGGACGCGGCACGAAGAATTGCCTCAGACTGACTTCCACAGTAGGTGTAGTTTTGTTTTAATCTGCTCTACTCGTATCACCACAACAGAATATACAATATGGTATAACATAGCATGCTACTACAGGAATAGGAATACCACTACAGAAATATCATGCCTGCCCCGAGAAAACACAAATCAGATGTCAGGGTATACAGCATGGGACCTTATCTTTCTGATCTGTGGTCAGAGCACAAAGTTCTGAAGGTGAAATCAGGGTGATGGGAAATTATTTGGAAATTTGAGGGTTCATGTTGGCACAGAAAGGTTTGATTCTGCTTCCAGAAGACTGAAGAGACTCTTTCAAACTACTGATAGCTGATCTGTTCTGTAATGGTTGGATTGAAAGCTTTGGAAGACCTACCAGAAGAACCTTTGCAACAATATGAATGAATGGATGGATTCAGCCTGCGTGGGCCCCACTTCCAGGGAGGAACCAGGAAGTAGTGAAGGGCAACACTCAGCGTTCTGGCTTGAGGGGAGAGGCCATTGCCTGAGCAAGACCAAGGGTTGAAAAATCCTGAATGTGGGACCTATTAAAACAATTCAAGCTTTGTTTGAATAAAATGTGTTGCTGTTTGGGGCAGGGTGGGTGGGTAGAGTCTGTGGGGTGAGGTTCCTGAACGTTGAAACATGGTGGCAGTGCTGACTGAATCCAGGGCAGAAGCAGAATAACAAACTGTGAACCGAGGGAGGGAGGGAGCAAATGGAGAGCCTGGAGCCATCAGGCGAACTAAAACTGCAAGCTGCAATGGCAGATGAAGTGGAGTCTGGGAAAATGAAACCGTTTTGATATTCAACTGGAGAAAAGCAGGGATGGGGGAATAAGAGAAATAGGGGAAGAGATTGTGGAATTTTGTGCCTGTTTAATGATGCTAGCTTCCAATTGCAGTTTTGCATATATCAAAATTTCCTTAATAAGAGAACTGGTAGTTTGTGGAGTACAGGACACTCGAGCATTAGTGAGATTGCTGAGGCTTAGAGAAAAGTGTAAATATTTACGGTACATCTGAGTCAACCAAATACAGGATTAGGGCCTTGGAAAAGACAGATAGTGGAACCTATCTATATAGAAGAGAGAAAAAAGGAGACATTAGATGTAAGGTCAACAGTGAAAACCATAGGCCAGTGCAAGGGGAATGCATCCCTATTCAGGACAGGTTGAGCATCATCCATCCAGTTAGAGGAACCATGTCTGAACAGTATCACAGTCTTGTCTGGACTGAGCTTCAGTTTGTTATCCCTTCAGTCCATTGCAGACAGACAGCACTTAAACCTCATCTGCTGATGATGAAAAGGAGAAATAATACATACTGATGGCAATGTACTCCAAAATTCTGGATATCCCCACTCAGTGGTTTCATGTAGATCTGAAGTAGCATAGGGGACAAGACTTACTCCAGGAGACCCTGTACCAGATAATCCACAGGGCCAAGCAATATCTCCAAGCACCTCCTTCTGGAGATGACTTTCAAAGGAGGAGCAGAACCATTGTAATGCAGTACCTCCTGTTCCCACCTCAGACAGTTGCACACAGAGGATACCAGACTCAGTGGTATCAAAACTGGATGAACAGGGTTGCACTCCCTGTCTCTCACTTGGTTTAGGTCATCCTGCAGGGTGACCAAAGCCATTTCTGTGCCAAAACATGGCCTGAGGTTGATGCAAATAACCAGTCTCATCCAAGAGTGCCTAGAGCTGTTGATGACCGCCCATCTAGGCCCTTGCCAGGAAGGGAGCATTTGCCACTGCTCTAAGATTATTTGCATCTTCTGTGTCCAGAGAGGGTTTCTTCAGGAGTCGCCTCAACACCTCCTCTTGTAGTCTGCATGGGACCACTTCCTTTCATTGAGGGACATTGAAGGCAGATTAAAAGTCCTGAATGTGGGACCTATTAAAGTGTTTGGTACCCCTAAGTAGCAAATGGGGGAAGGAGCTATCCAGAATAAGTAGACTGACTTCAACCTGGGGGTGCCAATGCATGTGCTGACCACAGCTCCTTGCTGACCCTGTGATTGGTATTAGTCTGAAGGAGGGGTGAACATGTAGGGTTAGGGTTCATAAGTTTCAGTTGGGTCAGCTCAAGAACGCTGCCAGAGTGCTTGGAAATTTTCATGCAGCCACATCTGTCCTGGACCCTTGCCCTATCGGCTTATTCAAATTAGCAGGAAAAGAACACCCAGCTGTGCCAGGAATGTGAACAAAGTAAACTTCTGCTTTATACTAACCCTTGTTAGCAACTCAAAGACAGTTTGAGCTAGCAGATATGCAACAGACAAAGCATAATTTTGAATCGCTCGTGTTTCTCAGTTGATCAAGGCTCAGTTACATATATTCAAAAATTCACACCATCTCCTTGAAGCTTCACCAGCTTCTTTTTAATTTTTTTTTATTTTGAAAGCAAAAAAAAAAAAGCTTTAATACAGACAGCAAACTGAAATAGACAAAATTGCCAAGGGAATTCGATACAGAACCAACTAGTACAATCAGCCCTCAGAATCTATCCATCAACACTCCATAAAAATGTAACACAAAAAAAAAAAAATCCTCAGTCTGTACGACAACAGAGTCTCCAATCACTTCAGATCCTCCACAGCTTTCCCTGTATTTTTTAAACACCTCGGATCCACTTATCCCGCTGCACATTCCTCTCACAATCTCCTCAGCAGCACCTCCACCAGTCCATTCTCCATCCTTCAGTCGTTGAGGGCTCCCAGAACCAGCTGCAATCCTAACTCTGACATTTATTCCCTGACATGCTCTCTGACACTGTATTTGTAAGACTCATGAAAAACTGCTTTGAGTCTCTTAAAAGAAAAATTCAATGCATTGATGTTAATTGATAATATCTCCATTCTCTCTCTAAAACTCAATCTAAGGAGCTCAGACGACTATCTCTTTTCAGATCTGCCATCAGTTTTCCAGCGTCCAGTTCAGATTTCTTTCTTGCATTATATCTTCTCTTCTCTTCTTCTCTGCTCCTCTGCACTTCCACCTCTCACATTTCTTCATACCTATAAGTAAACTACAATTTGACAGTACAGCATAAAGCAGAAGAGTTAGGGGAGGAGACTCAACAAAGAAGGAAGGAAGGAAAAAGACAAAGAAAAGATAAGAGGGGGAAAAAGAGAAAGAAAAAGGACAAAAGACGAAAGTGGATAATGCTAGTTAGTCAGCCTTCTAAATATTAGAATTATTAATCCATTTCAATCTCTATTAAAATATTAGTTTGAATTTGTTTGTTAAGAAGAGACATTGTTCCAACTTTCATAGCAATGAAGTGGAACGGTATCCACCATAATTCATAGATCATGAAACTCACAGGCTCTGGGAGAAGAGTAAAAATTAGATATCTCTAAGAGTCCCCAATTCTGCAAATCTCACCAGAACAAGTTAGTTTCATAATGAGATGTGCATCACTTTCCACTTGCTTTTCAGACCAACCAATATAAAGGGTGAAATGGGCTGGAGAGCATTCTTAGGAGGATCTGGCTTTTCGTATGAAGTGTTCTGTGTATAGGTGGAACAAACAAGCAGATAAAGTACATGATTGTGTGACACCTTTGCCTATAGGAAACCATTATGTTTAGAAACATAGAAACAGAGCAAGTCAGAAGGGGTCTCCCGGGCCATCTAGTCTGACCCCCAGTTCCAGCTGGCTCATGACATGCCTACCATGTGCATGTCTGACCTATCCTTGAACACCCTCACATCAGGCCGAAGTTCTTCCTGCTTATTACCCATGCTCCTAGCACTGGTGTACATGCACCTCAACTCCTTCCCACAGATCCCTTTCTTTGGGTCCCCTGGCCTCCTCCCTCCTCTCATCTTCCCTGATACCGGCCCCCTCTTCATAGGAGTCCTGCCAGCCCCTGCAGTATCTCTAACACCCTGGTCCCAGAGCCCTGATCTTCTCCCCACACTTGCCCCATCAGGACAAGTTTCTGGGGGCCTGATCCCCCCCACAAGAGCATTTCCAAAGGACCTTTTCCCCGTCCTCGTGAGGTGCACCCTGTCCCTTACCAGAAGTCCACTGGCAAGAAACCGGGTGCTGTGGTCGAGGAACCCAAAGCGTTCCTTCTGGCACCACACCCTGAGCCTGACGTGCGCGCTGGATCAGAAGGGTCTTTAGCGCACGTAGGGGAGAGGGAGACTTCCTGTTGGAACTAGACTTTGTTGCAGGAAGACATTCCAGAACTCCTTTGTCTTCACTGTCTGAACTCCCATTCCCATCAAAGCTACAAGCAGGTGACACACTTTCTGGCAGCTTTTCCCTGTGTGCATGCACACCATGGTTTTGGATGAAGGAGTTGTCCCAGCTTGGGGAGACCTGGATGGGGGAGATGGGAGAAGCTGCGCTCTCCCAATTGTGCCCACCCAGGTACTCAGTACAGTGCCAAAATCACCTGGGGGTTGGGGAGGGGGAGTGGAGATAATACTCTTCCCATTTTGTTGGAAAAGTTTCAATTACTGAGGCCTGAGGATGTGGACAAAGTGCCTTGACAGGTTCAGCTGACCACTGGCATGTTCAACCCTTGCCCTTCATAGATGATCTTCCAAGCCAATGAGGAAATGTGTTCATGGTTCCAGAAGATTATAAATGCCTCTCTGAAGGAGGGGCTTGTCCAGCTCCTTTAAAGGAAGCTGTGGTCAGGCCCCTCCTGAGGAAGGAGAACCTGGATCCAGTGGATTCTAACTATAGGCTGGGGGCCAACATTCCCTTATTGGGTAAGGTGCTTGAGAGGGTGGTGGGTGGTCAGCTCCAGGCACTCTTAGATGAAATGTATTATCTGGACCCATTTAGATCTGGATTTGGAACAAGAACTGCCTTGGTGGCCCTGTGGATTGACTTTTGCCAGGAGAAAGACAAGGGGAGTGCATTCCTGCTAGTTCTCCTGGGCCTTTCAGTGCCTTCGATATTATCAACAATGGTATCTTTCTGGATAGGCTGGCTGAGTTGGGAGGTGGAGATCCTGCCTTGCAGTGGTTCCATTCCTGCTTGGCCAGCTGATTCCAGAAGGTGATGCTGGGGGATTGTAGCTCTGGGCCACAGCAACTGTGCCATGGAGTACCGCAGGGTTCTATACTATTCCTCATGCTACTTAACATCTACATGAAGCTGCAGGGAGGGGTTATCCAGAGGTTTGGCTTGCAATGCCATCAGCAAACTCAGCTCTACCTCTCTTTCTCATCTAATCCAGGTGAGGCAGTGATGGTACTGAACCAGCATCCGACTGGATGATAGGCTGGATGAGGGCTAGTAAATTGAAGCTTAATCCTGACAAGTTACAGGTGCAGTTGAGAGAAGGGTCCTCTGCTCAGATAGTTGATGTCACACATGCTATAAACTGCAGGAATTTCCTTTGTGCCTTTTCCAGAGATGCCTTGAAATGTGAACTTCCTCTTAACACTCTTTTGCTTCAGTCAAGCTCATCAATGTACATCTTCTCTCAAGTAATATTTGTGCATTTTCTTTACTTCTCTATGTATGACTCACCTGCCACCTTGAGAAACCGTTTTTGGCATTGGCTTTAAAAAAATACAGTATTTCTGCTGTTAGACTTTTGTTGGTTGAATGAGTAATGCTACCTAGGAACATAACACTTAGTTGATACATCTCAAAAACTGCTATTTTTCAGTGAATCATAGGGAGGAAATTTAGGAGTAGGAATTAGCCAGAAGGAGAAACTGAATTAGTTTGGGACAGGAAAAAGGTAATTCTATAAAAATAGACAGTTCAAAAATAGACAGCACTGAAAACATAGATAAGGATTTCTGAATTCCATGCCTGGAAGGAAGCAAAATTTCACTAGAAACACTAGAACCCATATTCTTTTCTGTAGCCCATCCGTCATCCCCCCACCGCCCCCCCGGGAGAGGGTGTCAATATGGTTGCAATGAGGAGTTTCAACTGAAGAACAACTGTGTATCTCTTTTGTTTCCTATTTTTTATATTCTCAACATGGGACTAATTTGTACACTATGGGGTGATTTTTAGGGAATTACCTTACAATTTGTAACTGAAACTTTTTAAAAATGATGTAGCAGGCATTGCTCCTCAGAAATTATGCTTTTCAGTTACTTCGGTAATAGGAGAATAAGGCCAGACCCTGTGCATTACTTTTACTGGAGTGGAACAAAGATGGAGCACAATATTGTCAGTCTACTCTGAAGCCCATCCAGCATTCCAGAGACTCCCCCAGCCTGCTGGAGCAGATTTTCTGGGGTACCAGAAATGGTTTTGTGCTGTTGGAAGATGCCATGAGCAACATTTGGCATGAAGAGAAAAGTGGTATGAGAGTATTATCATGATAATAAAGGCTGTTTCAGGGTGAACAAAATCTCAGTTCTGAGAACCCTATTTGGCAAAAAATGGTTCCATAATAACGTCTAATAAAAAATAAGCAGCTCCTCCCATGTGGCTTTCCTAATTCCCATGGGCAGAATGTTTCAACTTGGAAAAAATGCTTCTGGAAAATTGCATTTCAGCATTTCAGAACACAGTTCATCTCTTATACTTTGTATTATTTTAATGAGTCAATATAATCCCTACATTTGGAAAAGGGTATATAAAAAGGCCCGTTGGGCTGTCGGTCTCCTTTCCAAAAGGTTGACATTCATCAAGAAATCTACACAATTCACATCCAAGTTGAGAGTGATTGTACCAGAGAAAAAGAGGTTATTAAAAAAAAAAAGCCCCAAACATCTTGGCTGTTAGCAACTTGGCTGTTAGCCAAGTCAGATACTACAGAGGAATGAAAGGAAGGGACATATTTTTTGCAGATTACTCTTAATTATATTCACTTGAAAGTTAAGTGCCCAAAAATGACATGTGAGGAATCTGATACCAAACCGCCATTTTGGTTTGGTGCTTGGGGACAAAAGGCAAACCAAGAAAGGATAAGGATAGCAAAGTTTGCAACAAAAGTGGAAGAGTGCTAGTTGTAGGAGATTCCTTCTTGTGTAGGATGGAAAAATATGTACGTCGTGAAGAGCAAGAGAATCATCAAGTTTGCTGTCTCCCTGGTGACAAAGTTAAAGATATAACCAGCAAGTTCTCACAACTCATAGAACCCCCTGACAAATACCCCTTCCTTCTCTTCCATGTGGGTTAACTAACGACACTGCCATGAGAAGTTTTGCTGAAATGACATCAGACGCTAAAGCTCTAGGGAGGAAAATAAAAAACACTGGGGCCCAGATAGTCTTCTCCTCAATCCTACCAGTACATGGAAGAGTAACTGTTAAGGAAAGTAAAATCCTTCAAGTGAATGACTGGCTATGATGGTGGTGCCATAAAGAGAGATTTGGATTCTGGGACCACAGCTAAGCTTCCCAGAAGATGGACTACTGGCAAATGATGGGCTGCAACTCACAAAGAACGGGAAGCAAATGTTTGGCCACTACATGAAAAACTCCATTAGGAGAGCTTTAAACTAAAACCTATAGGTGAGGGAGATGTGCAGCATGGCATACCATCACTTGGCAAAGACTTCTACATTTCAACAGAGAAAAAATCTCAAGCAGGGCCCAACACCAGTCTCCCAAAAAACGTAGAAAGAAAAGCGGGGCACAGCAAGAATGACCTTTGACTTCCCTACACCATTGCCCAGAGTATGGGAAACAAGCAACACGAACTTGTGCTCATACTACACAAGGGCAATTATGATCTTAGAGCAATAACAGAAGCTTGGTGGGATGACTCAAATGACTGGAACTCTACAATTGATGGATACAGCCTGTTCAAGAAAAATAGAAAGGGCAAAAATGGAGGTGGAGTTGCACTATATGTGAGAGACACATATTTCTGCACAGAAATACAAGAAGAGGAACTTAGTAGCCCCATTGAAAGCATCTGGCTAAATTTAAAGGGAGCAAAAAAATAAATAAATAAGAACAACATAGTTATTGGCGTCTATTACCATCCACCCAGTAAAAAGAGGACAAGGATTTAACCTTTGAAAAGCAACTTGCTGGCATTTCCAAGAACAACATATTTATTTATTTATTTATTTATATTTGGGATTTTTGTATGCCGTCCCATTTGCATAAGCCTCGGGAAGGCTTCCAACATCATAAATAAATACACATACAAATACATACATATAAAACCTGGATACATCCTGGCTCAATATTTAAAACCAATAAATAAAATCAACAATTATTAAAATATCATTTAAATAAAAAGTCTTGGCCTGGCGCCGAAAAACAAATAATGATGGTGCCAGGCGGGCCTCTCGGGGGAGCGCATTCCATAAGTGGGGCGCCACCGCAGAGAAAGCATGTCCAACATGGGAGACTTCAATTTCCCTATATATGCTGGGAGACAAATTCTGCCAAGCATGGCACTTCTGCCAGTGCATGGCATGGCACTTCCAAGAGATTCCTGACATGTGTTGCCAACAATTTTCTTCAGCACAAAATAGAGGAAGGTACAAGAGGATCAGCTGTCTTTGATTTAATACTGGTGGACAAAAGAACAACCGTGGGACCTCTGGGGGAAAGTGACCATGTGATACTTGAATTCTCAATGATAAAGGAGTCAAAGGGTAACTGGAGCCAAACAAGCACCCTGGACTTCAAGAAAGTGAACTTTAACGAACTCAGACAGATGATAAGTGAGTGCCATGCCTATGCACCCTTGGGGGAAAAGGAGTCCAAGAAGGATGGGAAATCTTGAAAAAGAACATTCTCCAAGAACAACTATGTACAATTCCATTAAGAAAAATGTGTAGAAGACAGAAGCCCACATGGCTCTATAAAAAGTTAATTGACACCCTGAAAGAAGAAAAAAAAAAAAGAACATATTCAGGAACTGGAGGCAGGGCCAGGCCACAAAGGAAGAATATAAACAAATAGCAAGGAATTGCAGGGATAGCTTCAGGAAGGCTATGGCAGGAAATGAACTGAGATTAACAAGGGATGCTAAGAACAAC